CTTTCAGCGTCATTAAGCCGCTGCGCCACCGCGTCCCCCCGACATTAATTAAGCATGGGGCAGTTACCAGATTTTCAAAAATAAATAAGGCAAAAGTATCTAATTCACCTCTAATTCCCGAGCCGTGTAAATTATCAGTAGGAACCACAACTGAGGAAGCACTTCCACATTCGGCAGAAAGACATTGCAAAGATCAGTAGACAAAGGAAAACGTAATAAATAGCTATTACTCCTCGCATCTGGGGAACATGACGCAATTACGGTGGGTTTGCTTTTCTGGGGCAAGCGAGATATCATTTCCTTAATATGCTAGAGATATCACACCTCTCTCAAGTGAAGGGATATCACAATTACACACACAGTGTTTTTTGCTGCCAATTTGTTTTGAGGTCACAGAAGCAAAAAATATTCAAAAACTCAACCATCTCCATTTAGGAACAAATGGGGAAAAGTACACTCCAAGCATTTTGCCCCTAAAATATTAGCCGCTGGTTTGTGTGGATGCGTCACAAAGATTTACAGAACCCACTTGCCATTGTTTGAACACTTATCAACTGCTGTCCAAAAATCACTAATGGCACCTCTCCGAGAAGAAGCTGTTATATTACTTTTATTTCTACTGGTAGCAAAACCAGATGTTTCACGATAAAAGCATGTTCTTCTAGACATAACTGGTTTTAACTTTCTGGGCTGAAAGGCCCATTGCCATGAACAAGATTTAGGGCCTCCTTAGAGACAAAGAACAGCTTCTAATGTATTATTTATAAATGTGAAACACTTTCTCCCTCCCCAGTTCTCCTCGTTCATGGAAAGCCACACCCTGAATAACTGGCAAAAACCTCCAGTGTACATAGATCAACTTAAGTGGAATTTCATTGACTTATACAAATTCATTCATATGACAATTTTGCCATGCAGTAATCATTTAGCAAGAGACGTTTCCCATTTATATTGTTCTGGGGGAAAAAGATCTCCCCCTACTTGCAGCAATTGTCGTACTTGATTAGCCAAAGGTGGAGAATCAGTGTAAACACAATGCTCAGAGCACTGCTAGGCTCATAATGTTCAAATTATATGAACTGCAATTAACTCCTTTCCCAACTCCATGTTTTAATTGAAAGGATCTCTTTCTGTCTATTAAATGCAATAACCTTTGTCCTGTGGCTCTTCTCACCTCAAGAAAGAAGACTCATCTCAAACCTTACAACATATTCACCCCCAGACAATGCTTCAACGGATATTTTGGATAGTCCAGTGATGCAGAGGGGGAAATTTTCCGTAGTGTTACTGTACTATATCATACCAACATTCACAAGGAAGGAAGGGAAGAGAAAGAAAGCCTTGCTTGAAAGAGATTCCTATCAGAGGTGATCAGAGCTTCTTTTTACAAATTTAGCGTTTATAACTAGCAATACTTTACTAGCTGCATGAGTAGTGTGACATTTCTATGGCACAGAGACATCCTGATATAATTATCATCACTTACTATAGATGAACTTAACCCCCCCCAAAAAAAACCCACTTATTTTTCTACATAACATCTCTGGTTTTCTCTCACAATTTACAGAACTTATGATATCACTCAGATATTAAATAACTGCAGGTGATGAAAGAATGTTTACTGACATTAATCTTAAACATTAGAGCAAAACAGAAAGCTTATACAATAGGGGGGAAAACATTATTTATTTATTTGTTTATTTATCTGTCAAATGTATACAGCTGCCCGTCTCATGCATGAGAATACTTTAAGTATTCCAAGTGAAAATTCCTGCTGTTTATTGCTAGAAGATCAAGTAAACAGGAGTTTTGCAGGGATTTGAAAGAGGCAGAAGCAGAGGAAGAATCTAGGAGGGGAAAAGACGATTGACTGTTTGCTGCTGCTGACTGAATGACTGCTAACGGCTGCTGACCATTTTCTGAGTACTGCTGACTGGAGCACACTGGTCCTGACTGGAACTCTGTTCTTGCTGGCCAAGTTGAGGCAGCTCAAAGAGGCATATAAGGAATCCAGTTTCCCAGCAGCAAGTTGAGCAAGCATACAGGAGTCTGACAAGGGGATTTAGTGGGGGAGACACTCATTCCACTTTCTTCTTTTCCCCCTCTTTTTTTCCATGACCTTCTTTTGGTCCAGGCTAATCCTCACTCAGAGAAGCAAGTTCTATGAGCTTGCAACCACAACAAGCAACCAGAGAAGACTTGTGTAGAAGTTTGGCTAGGAGAGTCAGTGAGGAAGGCTCCAAGCAACATGTACTGCAAAGTGTCTACAAAGTTTGTCTTCCTACCTGAAGAGGACCCAAACTATATCTGATGCAAGTACAAGCTTTTTAAGATATTGGAAGAGAAATAGTGTCTACACTGCAGGGCATCAGGGAAGAAGAGAATTTCCTGGACAGGATGGCTGTCTAGGCGGGGTAGAGAAGAGGAAGAAATGCCAAAGAACAGGAAAAAAATCCATTTGATAGAGGCAAACACAAAACAATCTGACCTAAAGAAGAGGATTGGGAGGTACTTGGGCCCTCTGAAGTTCAGGAATCAGTATCAGGTTCTCCCTCTAGAAGATTACCTACAGCCTCCTGAGCAAACTTTCCGTAGGTAACTCTGACTCCCTGCTGAAGATCCTTCAGTCCCCACGGACTGACTCAAGAGCCATCTTGAGAAATAAGAGGTATGTGGTGGTGGTAGGTGGTCAGCTAAAGGTACAGACATGATGAGATGTCAAAAGAGGTGTGCTGTCTTCCATGCACTCAAATGCAGGATATGACAGAGAGGCCACCAAGACTCTTCAAATCTACTGACAACAATCCTTTCCTTTTGATACCTGTGGGGATGAATGCACAGCCAGAATAGACCTCTGAAGTACCCATGGAGACTATGTGGTCTTATATGGGACAGGTAGCTTTTTTATCAATTCTTCCAGCTGAGTCATGGTGCAAGAGGAAACAGGATCCTGAAAGCCAACGACTGACTATATAGATGGTGTCACCAGAAGGGGTTTGGATCCTACCACAATGACCGATGCTACCCTCATGAAATATTTCTATGCTACATCTTACTGGGAAGGAAGTCATAGGCAGGTTCCTCACCAATCCAATCAAGAGACCATTAAACAAAAATGGGGGAGGGTGGTAAAAACTCGAAACAGAATTTGCAGCAAAAGAAACTGAACACAAAAGGAAAACCAAGAGTCTAGGTGAAGAGTCAGAAGCTTTGTAGGACACTGTAGCAGAGAAGCCAGGAGGTGGTACTCAAAACCTCAGATGCCACCACAGCAACAGACAGAGTATAGGAAATAAGCAGGGAGAACTAGGCAACTCAGAAAAACGAATATAAAATGATAGATCTCACTGAAACTTAGTGCAAAGGCACTTATTATTGGCACATACAGTAGCTCTGAAAGGCTACAACTTATTCAAAAGGAACAGAGCCGACAGAAAGGGTGGGGGTACTGCAATGCATGTAAAGAAAAAGAGTATACTTGCTCTGAAATTCATGAATCAGAGTGTGGCTAAAAGGGTTTCAGTAAGAATAAAAAGAGAAAGAAACAAAAGTGATACTATGGTAGGAGCTTGCTACAGACCACCTGGGCAGGCTGATGAGGCTTTTATGCATCAGATGACTAGTCTTTCAAAGAGGCATGTGATGGTGATAATTGGAGGTTTCTGGGAATTCAGCCCTGCAAAAGAGTCAAGAGGTCCA